ACAATAAAATAACACGTCCTAGATCTCCATGAATGAAATGTTCCAGCTGAAGATCTTTATTCATGACACAGCTGAGCAGCTCTCATCACACAACCCGGTTTGTGTGTTTTTACCCGTCAGCTGGTTTCTGTGGGCGACTGTTCAGCTGATTAGAAGCTGTCAGAGGCAGGCAGATGAATCAGGTGTTCCTGCAGACAGACTGTTCTCAGGAGGATTCAGATTATCCCGTCATCCTGGAGACGTGTTCAGTGTTCAGGCACCGAGTTTAGAACGCTGAGATGAAACAGGATGAAGTCAGATTCAGCTCTCTGGTTTGTGACCAAGCTTTTCTCTCTGCAGATGTTTCAGCCAGTTTCAGGCCCGGATCGTCCGTCAGCTTCACCTTAGAGGAGCCGGACAGCAGCGTCCTGCCTTCCTCTTCCTCCTCCTCCTCCTCCGTCCACTCAGAAAACATCTCGCTGAGCTTCAGGACCAGCCAGAGTCCAGCTCTGTTGCTCTACGTGGGCTCCGACCTCCAGGAATACGTGGCTCTGCTGCTCAACAAACAAGGTCAGAAAGTCCAGGATCTCTGGTTCGACTTCATCATGAACTGTGTTTATTTAGATGGTGTTTGTGAGACTTGAGCTTCACACATCAACTGCTTTCCAAAATAAATTAAACAAAACTGAGCATTTACCCACTTTTTAAAAAATTAGATTCTGTATTTGAAAGACATTAACTCAGGAACGACTAAAGAAAGTCTCAGCTTCTGCTTTTATTCTGAAAATAAAGCGACATGAATGATCATTCAGAAGCTAAACTATCAGATTGAATAAAATCAGATATAAAACAGTCATTATGTGAAATATTAGAGACTCTTTAACTGCAGACAAACGATCCTGGATCACAGTTTAAACTTTCATTCTTCAAGATGCAAATGAGTGTTTTTGTTCATGCAGGAAGTTAATTATGATGTAATTAATGCCTTTATATGTGGTTTAATGAAGAGGAAACAGGTGTGTCTCAGATTCCTGCTTCTAGAAATAACTTTAGAAAGCATCTGAACGTCTATTTATCCATTTCATACCAACCTCATGTGACTGTTCTTAAAGCAGGAGAAACAAGAACGTGTGGAAGTCTGATGTTTTGAGGTTAGAAGTTCCCTTGTCACCAACTTTTTAGCTGCTAGACGCTCAAAGCTGCTGATAAACGGTAGTTCGTGTTGATTGTGGTCACCGCAGAGGGAACGAGCTTCGTTTTGTTCTGTTTCTCTAATGATTGTGGCATAAAAGGGCAAAAGTGTGTTAAAAAAAATAACTGAAAAATAGGATTAATGCAGGTAAAGAACGTGGAAAAGCTGCTGTTTCTGTCCTGTGTCTGTGTGAAGCTCCTCGTTACTGTGGCTTCACTGGACAATAAGCTTCCTCCCAACAAAACCAAACAAAGTGACCCGTTTTAAATGCAGTGAACACGATATAAATGGTGTTTATTATATTTACGTGACTCAATTTGTTCAAACAGTTTCTTCTAAAATGAATTCTTCTTAATGAGGACGGACTATTTAAAGAAAAGTATGTTGGTTCTAGTTTTATTAGAAATAGTTGGGCTGCTTTTTTAACAATTAATGTGTCTCAGTTCAAAATCTTGAATGTTTAAAGTGTTTTCATTGAGTGGGAAATTGTTCCTGAAGTTGTTTTAAGCAGCAAACGTGAGGATCTGAGTGACTTTAATAAGCAGAAAACTAGAAAAACGTGGGTACTAATGGTTAATAAATCCAATAAATAACTAAACAAATGATTACAGAAAGAGAAAGAGGATCAAATTGACACATAAAATAGAATTTAAAGTGTTGATTCGGCCTCTAAATCCTCCAGAGCTGCTTTATTGGNAACGTTCTCTCCAAAGCGCCTGGTGGATGTTGACTTTCAGAGGGTTGAGAACTCTTGGGTATCATCTCTCCTCGGCCTTTGGTTTGCCGTCTCTTTCCATCACACCACTCTGATGGACTGTCATGGACTCCAGGAAGCCTCTTCGTCTTGTGCTCCTGAGGGAGGCTGATAATCAGACTCTGTGTCCTCCCACGCTGAAGCTCTGCTGGTTACTGAGCGGACAACGTCGTCATTGATCCACATTGAAGCTGACAGATTTAAACAAGCTCAATTCATAACAATCACCGTTCCTAAAAGTTACCGCGGTGTAATAGACCGGGAGCACAATCCTCCACAGATTGATGGAGACGTCCTCGGCGATAAGCGAGCGGTCAGCTTCCTCGCCGTGACCTTGGAGAAGAGCTTGACCTCCATCCGTTAGTTGAGGTGGTTTCTCCTGCTGACAGCTCCTGATGAAACTCTGGGCCTCCGATATGAACCTCATCAGCTCTGCAGGCCCGGAAAGCTGTTTATCTCGTCATAACGGGCCTGAGGTGGCCGGTTTGGCAGCCGGAGACAATTACAACGCCGCAGAGAGGACGGCTGGAGGTTGGAGTGCGAGGAAGTTGGTGGAAACAATAAGTTTTAAAGTTTAAATCAGCAGACGGAGCGTCAGAGGAGACTGGCAGCTCCACACATCAGCAGAGGAACGTCAGATTCTCGGTTTTCTCGTCTTCCCACCTGCCAGTTTGTGTTTCAGCGCGTTTCATCACTTGGTCGTTTTAAAAATTCAGCACCAGCGCGGTGACAAGTCTGTGTTTGTGGAGCTGCACAGCGTGTTCACACATCAATAATAGAGTCAGATATCAGTCAGTGTCGCCGCAGAGGACTGATCACAGGGACGCAGGCTTTTATTCCCTCCAGCTCCACGCAAACGTCGAGAACATGGCGCGTGTTTGTTAGAATAAAGATAAATCACATAATAATATAAATAAATGAGAAATAACGAGCTTCATTAACCAGCTAAAGATAAATCAAAAACACAGCAGCAGGTAAAGATAATGGCAGCGAAAGCAGGAGGAACAAATTAAAATGTAAAAACAGAAGAATTCAACTAAACTAAATGAAGATATTCTCTAGTTGCAGCTTTTTAAATGTGATTATTTGCTGCTTTTCTTTGTTTTTAACTTGAATATCTGAAGTCTTGTCTCAACAGATCTCAGAGATTCAATCATGAGGGAATATTTCTGGTAGATTTAAAATCATCCAGAAGCTTCAGTAAAAACCAACTGGAAATCTCTCTTTGGTTCTCAGAGATGTTTCCTCCAAGATGGAGCCTCTTGGACTGAATCCTGAGTCACACATTTATAAATCGTCAAACAACAAAACAAATACACACACATATTTATTATTATTTTTAAGCAGGTAAACTGATTTTTTTTTAAAAGTCCTTAGTATACTAGGTAACTGAAAACATTGTTTTTTTGTGGATTTTAATTCAGTAAAACCTTTTACAGTCACATATTGTTTAAAAAAAAAAAAACTTTGTAAAAATACTGATTTTTGGTGTGAACATTTTATGCAATTTTGCCTTTTTTGTAAAATACTGTCAATTAATACTTTTTTGTTTTGATTTTAAGAAGGAAAAAAATGTTTAATGAGCTTTAAATTATTTGCTAATTTTTAATTTTTTTGATTTCAAATTTTATTTCAGAATAAAATTTAAAATAATTGCCACATTATTTATTTTTATTTTGTTTATTCTTTTTATTTCCACTTTTATTTTATTCTTCTTTTATTGATTTCTCACTGCACCTTAGTTAGACATCAGTCAGTGAGAACTGAAGCAGCCTCTTGGAGCTGAGATGTACTCAAGAACCCCCAGAAAGAAGATTCCAGCTGCTTTTTACTGAAGCTCTTATGATTATGAGGGACATAGTGATGAGCTGCTG